GCTACTTTGCTCATAATTTTGACGTAGCCGAAATAAAGGCAATATCAAGTTTTTTTTTTTATTTTCGAATTGGAAGTACTTGAAATTGAAAGTTCACCTTCTTGGCAAGGACATGAAAATTCAACGGGTAGATTATTCTTGAAATGGAATGGGTTACTTAGTGTGTAGAATAAGTTTCACAATTTTTAGTCTTCTACTAATTGCAATAATCAATTTACTAATGTTGATCCTTTTCGTCTAAGCGTTGATCGTCTGCAAACGTCTCCGAATTTCCGCCTGCTTTTCCTCTTGTCACGTGACAACGCAGCATGTGCGTACTTGCAATCAATCCTCCGCATGAGGCGTCTGCCATTCAGTTGCAAACTCTCCCCATGGATTGAGAGGGAGATCAGTGGATGGACCCTCTCTTCAATCTAGGCTGTCCAGCATGACACCACGGCTTCCATGACGTCATCTGTCGCCACCTCGGGACCACTTTTCATGTATGGGCGCGATAGGATGCTAAACGCACCAATCGGAGACACACTCCAGGCACCATAATGGTGCTACCCTTTGTACGGAGCAGACGACGTGCCGGATGAGAGGAGAGGACATTTCCTTCTCTGCTCTTTTTAATGGAATGGTGGGATTGGTTCAGATAGGCCCGTTTCTTTTCGCCAGGAGGTGCTGTAGCATCTACGAGACGCGACCACAAGAGACCCCTCCGCTGGCTTCCGCGAGATGCCATCAATGCCGCGTCCTAGTGTCCCATTATCCACAATCCATGGGCGTAATGTAGCGTCTCTCAGTGTCCCTCAGCATCTGTCCATGGTTACGAAGAGAGCGTTGTAATCAGTGGTTGTAATGTATACAACATGACGAAAGAACACACTGGCACGCTGGCGCCATCTATGCGGTGACCCTGGAACTGCATTTCGCAAGAACGAAAATTTTTCAGTATTTCCGAGGTCAAATGTGCGTAATACCTATAAGAAAGGCTCATTTTTAACATTGACAAAATTTTTTCGAGCCAAGAAAGAAAGGATAATGCGCAAGAGAAATAGAAAATATGCCGAACCACCAAGTTTACACTGCTACCCAATAGATGGCGCCTGTGTAAGAGGTTCCAAGGCACCAGGTTCTAAGAGGTCACAACTGTGTGAACAGGCCTTTAAGAGAAGGGGGAGCTAAAAATAAACTTTATTTTCTCTGCTACACCTTTCTTTGTTTTTTTTTTGGCTTCTAACTGATGACTTGCAGGTTCAAGTACGAAGCCGTCTTTTAAGCACTGGCATGTCTCCATGTAGCAAAAAATTGCTTGTCCCCCTCTTAATTTTTTGTCATCAGCAGAATGGGCAGAACTGTGAACCGCCTAAACCTGACGGCTTTTCAAACTACGTTTTTAGAAAGGAAGCTATTTTCCTAGGATAAAACGAAAACAAGTGAATAGATAGATAAAATGGCGTGAAAACAACTCGGAAGGGAGAGTAAAGCATCAAAGACGCATGTGTAATGCTCCAAAATTCGGTAAAGTGAAAGATCGTTGAAACGGCGTCAAGCGTCTTCGATGAAATGTCCACCATAGCCTCCTATATGGCTAGTATAATGACGCTAGAGGTTCAACTGGCGCTAGATGCAAATCAAAGCAGACAGCAACCATTTGAAAATTGACTTCCGGCAATGCATTTCTGTGGGGAAAAGTGAGTGCATTTTCTCCTTGCGCTCAATTATAAGAGAAAATATCCCGAATAATATGTACATACTAGGTAGCTTGGAACATTTTTAGTGAGGCAGACGAAAGAATTGGTCAGTTACGTCATTTTTCTTTCAAATGCATTGCATTAAAAACGATGCTAAAACGGCTTCGTATGTATTTTTGTGCACTGTCGGACACTGTTAGCGCGAACACGACGTCGGCGCTTTTCAGCATCTGGAAACCAAGAGAAACGGCGAGATCATAGATCAGCAACTAACCATGCATGTCAATCAAAATAAATTGAAGGCCACATAATAAATTCGGAGTAAGTAAATAGTGCTTTATTCTTTCCGCTCTGTGCAAAGCTGCTTGTTCTAGGTTCAAAGGAGTTTATTGGCTTTACCACCATACAGCCGAGAGCCCGAGGCAGCCAAAATGCAGAAGGCTGTGCATCCAAGTTCTGGCTGCCTTTTCGGCTGTAGTAGAAAATACATGAGAATGAAACTTATATGTACAGGTGTATGTGAGAATGAAACTTTTACATGTGTATGTTAAGTAGAGAATACATGATAACGAAACTTATGTGTACAGGTGAGGTGGGTTGTCTACGAAGTGCGGCTGGTCACAGGATTTATACATCACTGTACCGCACCACGTTCAAAACATCACCCGCACGCTCGCATTCTGTGAGACCAAGTGCCCGATAAAAGCTGCCCGGCAGAGAAAACAATACAAAGTGACACCTTTCACAGCCCACATACTTTATTCTTTACACTCATAATGATGCACCGACGGATAATTTTACAGCGTCACATGTTTGTCACTGAAATGTAACGAAGTTAAACGCCGTTCGCTCATGAAGAAAAATGGACTAACTAGAGCAATTCCTCTTCTACAATGTTAATGAAATTACATTCTGTTCATTACGACTCAAATGACCAAAGTGTTCCAATATATTTTCCGGCGAAAAGACAAAATGCAACCGCAAAAGTAGACTGGTTGCTGTCTGCTCCAGTTTGCGTCAGTCACGGATGTCGCATAAACACTAGCACCATTTGAACCTCTAAGCGTGCATCATAATAACTTTATGTCGTCCACTTATTCGGTCAAACGGCGTTAAATAAAACAGATAAAACGGTGTTTAGCTTAAAAAAAGAAAAACAAAGCAAAAACGGATCTATTTTTGCTGGCTAGGTGGCGCAAGTCGTCGCCCATTTCGGAGGCTAACTGCATTCATCTATCCATCACTCATTTAAGAATGCGAGTCAAACGAAAATGGACGAAGAAATCGGTTCACCTTCCGAGACTTCTTGAGTTTGGTGTATTCAACAACCAGGTACTGTTGTTGGCCTATCTGGCCTATCTTTCAGTCTGAAAACGGAATCCTGAGGTGACAGAGACTTTTAGCAAACCGTTACCGCTGTTCGCATACCGCACTACGGGAGCATTTGAAGCATGTTTTTGAACGCGCGTCCGGGTGATACCGTAACCGTGGGGTGCGGAAAGCGTTTTAAAGGTTCCAGTAGTGCGGAACACGGTAACGGTTTGCTAAAAGTTTTGAAGTAAACGTGAGGAGGCCCTACTCAGTGCTCACGGCCTTGTTTTTAGGCGACTGCTTGCTCCATCCTGGACTGTTCACGTTTATTTTTTCCTGGCTTTTAAAGGGATACTGCAACGAAATTTCGGCGCTCATTTTTTGGTCTCTATGTGTTCAAAAGAGCATTATCACATGGAACATACCAATATCTTGTTAAAAAAGTCTCGAAAAGGAATTTTAAAACGAATTAAACGATTAGCAAAGAGCACCTGGTGGATGTCGCTAACGCCTCGTTTGTAATGCTCGTCTAGGAACCTTGACAGCTAGTGTCGGAGGTTGTCTCGTCTCCGGCCACGACGAGAGAAGGGGGGAGGGAGGAACTCCCCTCTTCCCGAGAATCCCTTTTGTGTGTCGCAGAAGTCGCTGTTGTCCCCCTAGAAGATTATAGAAGATTAACCCGTCACTCAAAATTCATACAAAAGCAGCCGCTTCGGTGGCTGGAACGACTAGGCCATCCTCTCGATGTCAGCCTCGCCGTAGCTTTGCTCGTCTTGAGATGACCTATGTCGCGATTGCGTTGGATGCCACGTGCTCTAAGCTGGGCCTTCTCCGAGCGTTTGCCAGAGTGGGCAGTTTATAACGAAAAATACAGCCACCAGGATCAAAATAAAAACGTGCGATTGTCATTTACGAATATTGTGGATCATATTCAACTTATTTTTGAACACGACGGGAATATTTAAAATTTCGTTGAAGTATCCCTTTAAAGGTGGTTCAACACTCTCCCAGTGTTACTAGGCCGCAGAAACCGAGTGGGCATTCGCGCACTGCACACTTATTTCAGGAATTTGTGTTTTTTATTGTGCGTACAATGTCTTTCGACTGTACTCTTGCCGAGTGTGACTGTACTCTTGCCGAGTGTTCAAGTACCGCCCTAAGGTGTTCAACTCATTCAGCGCTTATTCTGACGGGTTTTAGATCAGCCGCTCCTCACCGACCTTTTTTTTGTCGTAAAGCGGGAGTGGTGCAAACGCTACAAAAGTGAGCAGCAATCTTTTTTGCATTGTTATGCCCGCGCCTTGCTCTCCGCGACACTGTTAGCGCGTGAAAGCCATCCCCGTTTTTATCTGTGTTTTTTACAGCATTCAAGGACACTCATCAAAACTACTCTATTGATAGAAAGTGCTCACTTGGGATGCTAACGTAAGTGGTTGATGCCGGCCAGTACCCTTTCCAACTAAAAGGCGAAACATAGTCAAAGTCGTATTCGCGCTAACAGTGTCGCGCAGCGTATGATCAATCAGCATGGATCAAAGTGGCGATGCAGGTGAATTGGTTCATGATGGAGCTGGAAACGGCGCACCAGTAACAGACAAATTAGGTGTAGATGGGACAAGCGCTGAACTTCCCACTGATTATTTAATGAAAGGAAAAACGCCCAAAGAAATTATACACATAACAATCATGTCAAAACATGCTTCAAAAAGGCTACCTCATTCTTACGTAAACAAACCTAAGTTTGACTGACGCACGTTGCGCCTTCCTTTCCTATCAGCCGTTCCCTCGCAGTTTTATCAACCCTTTTTCCTAGGGTCATGATAAAATTTTGACTTCCACATGCAAGTCGCACAGTGTAAAGGTAGGTGCCCTTCCGCAGTTGATATCAGTGATAGCACGTGCTTGCATGCTCGGCCGACACAACTGCTAGTCTATCCGACGTATGCTCGACCACGGCTCTACAGGATTCGATCAACCACTGCCACCTCGCAATCAATGTGCGTTGTTCTGTGGTTGTTTGTACACTTGTTTAATGTCTCCCACCTATCATCAACCCTGGAGCATAGTTGTGAGATTTTGCGAGGTTCCAACAAAAAGACTGGTACATCGCACTGCCCTGCTATCTTTTTTGTATTATGAGAAAACGTGATTCTTGTCTTCTCGCTACCTACGTTATTGGTGTCCTGTCTTAATCTTTTGAAGTAGCTCTTCGGCCACACACACTAACCTGACGCTGGGTGACCCGCAAATGCCAAGCCATCCTACCTGCCGCCCTATGCTCTGTTGGAGCGTATTGTGGCAAGAATTTTCTAGGGCAGCTTGTGGGCATGATGACGCAACGCCCCTCTTGGCCAGCTTGGAATGAGCAGTGGTTCCACTCCTGCGCCAAATGTGCCATTTTGCACCAGAGGCATGTTTTATACGAAGCATGGATGTTCCTGTAATTCTCGACTAACTCTTACTGTTGTGACTGAACTGACGTTTACATTATTGGGCAGGAGATCGAACTATAGCGGGCGCTTTATCGAGCATGTCCACATAGCCCGGTGTTTACTAACGCAGTATAACAATAAAATTGAACCTTGCCTAGCATTGTCTCGGCACAAGCGCTTTGCTCTGACCAGTGCTTTAGTTGCATGAGGAGCGGCCTTTGAATCGTCATCTTCAATTTCTTGGATCAAGAACAAACACAACATTTTTTGTCCCCAGAGCTCAAGAGCGCCTGCTAGAGGAGTGACTGTCCGATCCCCTCCCCAATATTAGCAGTGCAACAAAAAAAGAAAGGCTTCTTTTAAAAGTGAAGTCCACCTCTAAGCTTTTATAAGTCAGATGGCACAAGCCACCCTCATTGCTAGGGGCACAGGTATTGCTTTTCATTGTTCCTTCATGTTTATAAACCTTTCAATGTGTCTGAAATGTGTCATTCTTCTAGCTGTCTCGTTAGGTTGATGCACTTGATGGCTTTGTTCTTAATTAGTGCTGTTGCTCTTCGTGTTTGATCCCAGGCTTCTCAAGTGGTCCCCTGCCCTCTTTGCCGTCCTGTGAGCCGTCGTACGAACCTGACTTGAGACAGCAGTTTCTATGGAACCGATTCAGTCCTCAAGTCACGGTAAGTCATTTTTTTCAACTTGTTCTATGAACCAAGGACCGGGCACTCTCTAGAATGCAGGTAGTCTTCCCGCCTGTGTTCTGGAAAATGGGCAAAATCGAAAGTCACTTAGGAAGACGGCATAGGAAGCAGAAAAAGGGATGGTGTTAGGCCAGAATGGAAAACATAAAGAATTAATGGGACCATGAAATTACCTTTTTACTTTTGCCAAATAATTTTTCATTAAACACCGAGCAGGCATCCGTTTTCGTTTCGGTTTATTAACTTTTACACAAAAAATTATTGAAATATCGAGGTTTTCTTCCTCTCCAACTCGCCGCAATTTTGACGGTTGTGACGTGCTCTGTCATCGGAACCAGAAGTTCTCTCGGCAGTAGGAGAATGGGAGCATCAGTGGTGAGCTGGCGGTTTGCTGGTAGGTTTTGCCGCAGGGTTTTAGTGCGCTGATGCGCTGATGTTGCCGACATATTTTCTGAATCAGCGCCTCATCACCGCGATAGCCGTGGACACATCGTCGCTGAGTGAAATGAAATGAAATGGAGTGAAGTGGAGGCATCCATTTTTTCTTGCATTGTGATTTGAAAGGAAGGGGGGGGGGGGGGGGAGCGAAAGAAGAAGGAATAAAGTATTTTAAAAAGTTGAAGGTGACGAGGCTGAAGGAATGGCAGAAGGGGTTAGTGAAGTGGTTTAAGGATAAAGGGGGGGTGTTATTATGATATGGTAAAATGCTAGAGTTATTACAGTAGTATGGTAGAATAGACCCTTTCCGGAATTCAGTCTGGCCACATTGATCACTATCACCATCATCTGAAAACGGCATATGTGCTATACTAATGGCGGCCTTCTGTTTACTGATGAAGGAAGAAGTTGAAGATGCTCCTGAGCAGATGATTCGAGGCCTATACATTCGAGGTGTTAGCGCGACGTGAAGCAGGAATCGGAAGCAAGAGCTGCGTAAGCGTTCATTTCTAACTCAGTCCCAGTCAATCTGTTAGTATAGCACTCAACCGGCTTCAAAGCCTCTTGATGTATAGGACTCTATCAAGGCGTCGGGTTGGCGCTTCTTTCCGACTGGCTGCATTTGTTTCGCCATCGACACTAAAAGAGATTGAAAAATAATTGTAGTGAAGTGAACATTCTCGTTTACCGTTGACCTTTAAGTGATGGTGCCCCATTAAATACTGCAGACCACAGGCTCATTGCCGCCATTAGTATAGTAAAAGATAAACTGCCATTTGAGTCACCAGATGGCACTGAATTCCGGAAAGGGTCTATTATATTTCCAAAAGCGAGTGTTATGACGCATCAACGGCAATACTGCAAAACCCTTTATTTTTGCGGCCCTTCTTTTTCACAAATTGGTTAATAAGGGTATAATCGTGGCCACTGAATTTTGCGAGTTCTAGATGCCTGCACTGGAACTCTAAAATCAGAAATTTTTGCGTGCCCTTAAATTTTGCAAATTTTTCAATAGCGAAAATTAAGGGCTCGCGAACATTAAAGATTTTACAGTATTCAAATGCTTTTTCTTTTCTTATGATTTTAAAGTATCTTCACTTTTTACCTTTAAAAAAATGTGTCCCTAATATAATCCTATTACATAAAACATTTGGCATGGACGTCTGTAGGATATCTAGAATGCAACTGCTACGGTTTGATTAACTTGTGTCAGCCCTAATAATATTGTGCCCTTGCAATTATTAGTAAAAAAAGAAATGAGATCTCGCTTCCATTATTCTTGTTAATTTCACTCTGTGGTTTAAAAGGAGCAAATTAGCTCTTTTTATTTGGCTCTTTTAAGTGTTTCATATATCCATTGCATCCAGAACATGAAAAACCAGCTTATCAAAATGCCATATTTATAAAAAAAGGAGTTGAAGCATTATAACTTGAAAGTTTTACTCAGTTATCATAAATAATAGTACAAATGTCCCCTTGAGCGTGTCTCCTTCAACATACTCAATGCTGTACATGCTAAGAGAACAATTAATAGAGTGAATTGTTGTTAAGTGTTTTCTGGAACTGAAATAAAAAGGGCAGTGAGATATTAATCCACTCATTTGAAGCCGAACTGCAGTAATTACTACTGTAAAGTTCCGAGAGAATGCCCGCCCCCGAGAAATCGCCCATCCCGTTTTTTTGGCTGAATATCTAGCATAAAAATGCCAAAACATTGCCCCCCCATCCCCATTCGGACGTCACGCAATGTGTGACTGGAATCGCATTGGCCGCGCAATCTGCTGTACTGGTACTCCTGATAAGTGAGTTCATGGCGGATTTCCGCGTTTTTGTTTGCGCGAGCTTTATGCACGATATCAGCTCTTGTAACATATGAGTTGTTCTTGCGTGTATATTTCATTGCAAAATGTGAATCTGCTGCATCTGCGATCTGCGGTATTCGTTCCTACGACATGAGCATATAAGAGTTTGCAGCGCACTCCCGCATTTTTTCCACGACCTGCTTGGGCTATATTGATCCTGTAACGCATGAGCTGGTCCCATGTGTAAATTGCATTGTGAAATACAATTCTGCTGTGTCCGCGATATTCATTTCCGTAACATATGAGTAACATCTGCGCATGCAATATTGGTTCCCGTGACACACAAGTTTGTAGCGAGTTCTTGCGTGTTTATTGCACCATAAAACGAATCTGCTGCTTCCGCAGTTGGCGGTGTTCATTCCCATAAAATACAAGTTCTCAGCAGGTTTTCGCTGGTCCTTTGCACGGTAAAACGCGAATCTGGTGCATCCGCAACCTGTGGTATACTTTCCCATGACTCAAGAGTTTGTAACAAATCCCCGTGTTTTTATGGCATCATTAAATGCAGATTTGTGGTGCCTGCGATCTGGAGTATCGGTTCCCGCATCACAGGGTTTGTATTGGGTGCCCCTGTGTTTATCACTAATTTTTGATAAAGTTTTGCTGTTGCATTGCCAAAGATAACACACCCCTTGTTTTTCATAATTTATCTCTTCATTTTGGGTGGGCGTTCCTTCGCAACTTTACAGTAGTTATTTTGAAAGTAATTTACTTTCTTTGTTGAGCTTTCCATGTGTCTCCTAATACTGTTTTATTTTAGGAGATGAAGCTGCACTGTCGGGGAAGACCAGCTGCCCTCTGAAAGCCAATGGGGACATCTGGTTTGGATGCTGTTCCTGCACCTACTTCACTAGAGATCATCATGGAATTGTGAGCCACTTGGTTGCCCATGGTGATGAACAAGTGAAGTGCCACCATCCTTCCATATTTCCTGACTCCAAGTTCAAAGTGCACAGCAGCTCTCAAAAGCACAAAAGTGATAAGCTTTTCAAGTCGTATCCTGACGTCTTTATTCCGAATTCCTCTGTGCTTGAGCGTAATCGGACACACACAGGTGAAAAGCCATTCAAGTGTGAGCTCTGCCCCCAAGAGTTTACACGCAGTTCCTCTTTAAAAAACCATAATCGAATACACAGTGGTGAAAGACCTTATAAGTGCAATCTGTGTCCCCAAGCCTTTGCTCAAAATTTCCAGCTGAGAACCCATCATGTAAAACACAGTGGCGAAAATCCTTACAAGTGCGAGCTATGTTCCAAAGCCTTTGCTTCCAGGGGCGGTCTGGTCTACCACAAGAAAACACACACAGGTGAGAAGCCGTTCAAGTGCAAGCTGTGCTCCAAGGCCTTTCCCCAGAATTTCCATCTGGAAAACCATATTCGAATGCACACTGGTGAAAAACCTTACAAGTGCAAGCTATGTTCCCAAGCCTTTTCTCAGATGTCACATTTGGAAAGACATAATCACAGACACATCGCTGAGAAGCCTTTTAAGCCTTTGCTTCTCAGGCCTTTGCTTCCTAAGCCTTCTCAGGCCTTTGCTAAAGATAGCAGTCCGATCTATCACAACCAAACACACATGAAAAGCCATTGAAGTGCATGCTCTGTCTCCAAGTCGTGCGAAGTGCTGCCTGGCCCATCATAATCAAACACGCACAGGTGAAAAACCATATATACGTGGAAACTGTGCCTAAAACCTTTTTTACCATTCCGGTTGGATCTGACATAATCAAACACACAGTGGCCAAAAACTTTATAAGAGCACAAGCAATGTCCCAAAAGCCTTTGCTGAGATCAGGAGTGTCAAGCACGTGGGCCGTATGTGGCCTGTGACTCGTTACGATGTGGCCTGCTGGCAACCTGCTGTGAGCTGTCCTTTCCATGTCTGGAGCACTAGAAATGGCACCCGGCAATATGATCTCATGTCGCCGATTCGTTTCTACTCGAAACATAGCTCAACTCTTATAATGTATTCACATAGTTTGCAGTGTTTTGTTTTTACTGGCTTTTTGTTCCGTTTTAATTTTTGCTGCCCAGCTTTATGTCGTGTTAGTCACTTGAGCAACAGTTCCACTATTATAGACCCTTTTCAAGACAAATGCCATCAGGCTGTGCTCTAGTCTTTGACGTCCCGGAGAACTTTTGGTTTAAAAAAAAGAATGAATTAAAAAGTGCACCAACAACGCTGCTTGAAATGTCGATATGTTTAAGTACCAGTTCTTCAGGTGAACGCCAATAAAATAAGGAAGCAGGAGATCTGTTAAAAGGTTTTTTTTATATTATAAACCAACTTGCCTCCTCCAAGACGTTACATTATACAGCCAAAAGGCCCTCGTTATATCTCCATCTTTGTTGTCCATGTAACATTTATACTTTCTAGCACTGGTGACATAAGCAAGCTTGAGAGGCTTGCATAGACGGAACGACCGGAAATCGCTTGGGACGCAAGCGGCAGTTTATACTTCGGGTCACTAGTTGCGTGCAGTACAGGCGAAGGCAATGCCAGCGAGGGAGAAAGGGCAAGCACTAGGAAGGCTTTGGAAGAGAGGAGAGAGAAACCTCCTCTGTTCTGTAACTTTCCTATTGCTCTGCCTTTCTTTCCTTGCACTCCATTGCCCTCCTCTCCTGTCCCACCTTTCTCTCCTCGCCTGGCATTGCCTTTGCCTGCACTGCATAGAACTAG